ACCCTCACAGGGAGGAATTTCTTTCTAAACTCTGATCTGACCCTGCTCTCTGTCAGTTTGAAGCCATTCCCCCTTGTCCTGTCACTCCAAGCCCTTATCCAAAGTCCCTCTCCAGCTCTCYTGGGCCCCTTCAGGCACTGCAAGATGCTCTAAGGTCTCCCCAGAGCCTTCTCCAGGCTGAACATCCCCAGTTTCTGTGGGTTTGTGTCTCGTTAAATGCAATTGGATTAGGACAGGAATAAAAATTTTGTTAGTGGACTGATTTGAAGGGAAGTATTTGCTGCTCTCTCAGACTGAAAGCACCCTCAGGAGCAGTGTTTAARGCAAAATTGCAGCCTCCACCTTGCTGCTGGCTTGCAGACTGTATCATGTGGTAAAAATACATCATGCTCTACATCTAAGGGTAATAAGAYGAAAAGAAATTACATTAAAATGCAAAGTATTGTCAGTGGTTATTTCCATGGAAAGTCCATTTCCATTCAGTAGCAGAGAATCCATCATGTTCTGCCTTATTTCAGCTGAGATGGCTCCCAAGAAAGGATGGAGGTCACAGCACGTGGAGGGCAGTGCCTTTGAGAAGAGCTCACGGTGCAGTTTTTAGGTACTGGAGGGTGGGGCTGCTTGGCCATTTTACACTGGAGCCCTGCTGGCACTCAGCTGTCCCCAAAAGTGGCAGAAAATGTCCCTGACTCGGTGTGAGTGGGGCTGGCAAAGCGTGACAGTGGCAGCCCTGCAGGAGCTCCTGGTGTGTGCAAAGGAAAAATGGGCAAAAGATTTGAAATTTGGGGTGAAAGCAAAGCTCACCCAGTAATTCTGCATCTCCACAACTGCCCAGCTCTCTTGGGTTAATGCTGTGCCACGACTTGCACCCAAAATGGAGCAGCCAAAATGCCCTGATTTTAATGGAGCCCTACAAACAGTGGTTTGGGACATACCCTTGTTCCAGTGTAACAGAGGATTTCATGAGRCTCAATTAGCAAGGTAATTAATTAATCAATTATGTAAAACAGATGAGCGATCCGATATCCTGTTCTACAGTGATACAGCTCTTTGTTGAGACTTAATTAACACACAGGCTTGGGGACAAAATTAAAAAAAAAAAAAAAGGAAAAACCCCAAATCCTACAGAAGAATCGGTTGGAGAGAATGAGAGAATGACTCCAACAGAGGATGGAAACTGGGCTGGGATGSCAGCCCTGCTCTGAGAGGATAGTGGAGTTATTTTGGGTAGTTTAACAGCCAGCATGATGTTTGTCTCCACCACTACAGCCAGCTGAGCCAAATGGGGCTCYCCTGCCTGCCAAAACAAATCTGTGSTAATTCCTCCTGTGGAACTGCTCAGGGCCCACCTTTCCAAGCTGGCTGGTGCTGTACTGACAGGGGAGGCATTCAGCAGATGTGGTTATTGGTTTTGTGCCTCCCAGCTCCTCTCTCCACACCAGCAGGGCTGAGCTGCAGCTTTGGGGTCTCTGACAACCTCCAAAGATCCCTGCAGGTGTTGGGTTCCTATGTGACCTGTACCAAAAACAACGGGAATATTGATCTGGKGTAACAACCCCTTGTGACACAAAGTATTTCAATAGCCCACGTTAATCTGTGAAAACCTACATCTTGTTACAATCCCTGTTTTATTTAATTTTACTTTAGGCTAGTAGTTRTTTGGGTCAATTCTTTGCCAGTTGTGATAAATTGATACATCATYTGTGATGGAGCAAAACTGTGTCGGGGCTTCTACTTACACAGACTCTTACTCGAATAAATTTACATTAACCAGATTTGTGATACTCCATACASAAAAATCAGTGTCAAACCCTGCAAGTCTCAAACCCTGCAAATGATTTTAGAGCTAATGTGTTTCCAAAGYTTAAACCAATGTGCTTATGGACCTTTCCTTCAGCAATGTGCTCCAGGGTCGATTTTCCYGTGTTCCAGGGCCAGATTGCAAATGTATTGGCTGGGAATGGAAGYAGAGTCATGCTCCAGCAATGATTTTTATTGAGTAACCATAGATGAGAAAAGGCAGTTACTACCTGGCAAAGACCCTGCATTTTGAGTTTTCTTYACAAACCCTCTCTCTGCCCAAGCCTTCAGCGTGGAATTGCAGGAATTTACAGCGATATGTGGAAGAAGCTGATGCTCCAGACCAGTGGCTGCCAGAGATTGTATTTCTCTCTAAGGCTGCTGTCAGAGGGGTTTCTTGCTCAGCTGCAGCTGGGAGGGTGATTCAGAGCCACTGAGTGCTCACACCAGAGCCTTTGCATGCCTCTCCCTCACTGCTGGGCTGACAGACTGCTGCAACATCAGAATTTGCTCCTGGCCTCGCTCTCCCCTTCCTCCCCGAGTGCCACTGTGTGTTTTGTGTGTTTGAAGCTGTGTTTTTAGGAATTCAGTTCAAGCAGTTACCACATATCACCCAGCCTGTAGCAGGAACCTGCCTCCGCAGCTTCTGGGTTTTCATGGGCTGATCCCAAGCTGCTCCAGGGAATTTTCACTAGGTTTAGTCCTAGAAGAAGTGMACTGCTCTGTCCATGCTCAGGGGGTCTGTCCCTCTTGTTCACAGCTTATTTAAATCTGTTGGTTTCACTGTTTTCTTTCTCCTTGTAAGACTACAGGAAACCATCTCTTCASTCTGCCTCCTCACCCCCTCTAAAAGAGCTGGGCTGATTCCAAAAATGGGAGTGCTCAGAAAGTCAAAAGCTTATTAATAGCTCTCTGCCTCTTTTTAATCTATTCAAAAAGCTGTACAGTGTGCAAAGCTGTTGTGACATGATTTTTCTTTTTTAATATCTCACCCTTTGACTGTCAGCATTTAAGGAAAAATGAAACTAATCATCAGTGAAGGCTGTGATGCCACTGTTTTATAGCTGCTGGGGAGCTCAGCAGAAAATTTTGTAAGAGAGGATCTAAAAAAGAGATTGAGAGAGAGAGAGAGAGAGAGAGTGGAGGTGTGTGTAAGTGGATGCATGCATCTCATATTAGAGTTTTCACAGAACAAATCAAAAATACAAGGAAGATAAGGAAAATATTTATATATAGGAAAACAGTGAAAAAGGGGCTATTTTTTGTAACTTTGTCCTTAGTGCTCCTTTCCATGCAGAGGTACCAAGCCCCCAGTATTGCCCAGCCTGGCAGATTTTACTGAGGATGAAAAGTACAACATTTGGGCATGGATGGACTATACTGTCCTCCAGGTAAGAGTTTTCCCTACTATTATTTTACTTTAAACCCCAAATAGCCTTTTATTATTGCTGAAGCAACATTTCAGCCACAGACACTCTTCAGTATCAGTAGYGAAGCAAAGGCTGTATCTCCTGGCAGGGAGTTTGTGGAAATTAGTCCAAGATTCTCCTCTGAAAATGGAGGACAGGATCATGGAAAAGCTAAATGTAAATCAGTGCAGCTTATCAGGACATGASAGGTGGGATATAATGATCTACTATGAATGTTTTAAAGGACAGCCTAAAGCCCAGGACAAGTTATGGGAGGGAATAGCAGTATTGGGGTGATAAAACACAGGCTGAACCTAATATGAGGCATGGAAGGAATTCCCAGAAGTGGATGTCCCAAATTTCCAGTGGTTATCCCACTCCCAGAAGGGTCTAAAGACAGCAATGAAGCACAAAGGTGGTAATGGGGGGACCTGGCAGTTTCCTGCCCAGCAGCTCCTCAGGGTTGGGGTTCCAGTCCCCARGTACGTTGTGACTCTTCCTTGCTCCCCCAAAACACTTCAGCAGTTTTTAACCTTGACCAGCACTTCTCARCCTAGGTGATAATAATATTATGGGTGTATATATATATAAATAGTGTATATATATTTATATATATCTCTATACACAAATTTGTAAATAGAAAGAAGTTGTGTGTGTGTGTAGCAATGCATGTGTAATACAAAACAAACCTTGTAAGGTGCCTGCAATTTGAAAACTAGAATATAAAAAAATAAAGGAGAACTGCAATCATCGTGCTTCTGTGACAGCTAAGATCTCATTTGCAGCTCACACACCTTTAAGGTCTGGATTTCTCTTGCTTTGCTCCCAGTGCTCAGTGCCACACGCAGCATCCGACACCAGGAACAGCTGAGACACTTCAGCACAGGAGATCAAACACTTCAAAGAGTCCCAGAGTGGTTTGGGAAAGGGAAAACCCAGTTTTTCTCAGAGTCAGGTAAGGCAATATACTGGAAGTGGTTTGTGGTACCCAGARTGAAAATGAACTAACGAAATGCAGGCAACTGAACTGAAATTTCAGGCAGGTTCTGACCCTTGATGACCCAACCCAGCCAGTGGTGCATGGACAGATAAATCATCAGTGTAAACCTGATGAGATGATAATTGTGAAAATGTCTGCAGAAGTTTCCTGTTTTCACCTGGTATTTTTAACATTCCACATACAGAGAAAAGGTGATGAAATAACATTTTAAACTCTGTAATTAGCATTGCAATAATGTTGGCTGTTTAAATTAGTTAATAATATTAAAGAGGAGCCCTAATTCAATTGCAGAGACACAAATCCAGGTATTTCTAAATGAGGATGGCTTCCCAACAATTGTACTTAATTTAATTTTGCCTTCATTTATTGTGCAGATAATGGCCATTGCAGTATGTGCAGCATGTGGCTGTGTTTGTGGAACTGCCCTGGATGCTTTCAGAAGAGACAGAAAAAYAGGACAATTTACAATCTGGGGAGGAAACAGAAATAAAAACTTCCCCCTCTATCCTTGCTAGTTCCTTAAAAAACAATTTCAATATAATTTGAAAAGTTGTTATTTTGGTACAGCTATTCTATTCAGTTTGGTTTCATCTCTGCTTCTAAAATAGGGGTTTCTGGAGACCTTACATTAACTCCACRGATTACAGCTGGCATTGGACAGAGGCATAAGTTATGAAGCAAATATAAAGGAGCATCCATTTCCATGTATGATTAAATGCTGACTCAAGGTAGTGCAGTATTTTTGATCCCCTAAGTTTAATAAAACTCAGGACAGGCAATAAGGAGTCGCAGACAAATTAAAATTTATTGAGACGGACAAAAATGCAACTATTTCAGACTACAGTAAAGCATTTACAGTTAACCAAAGGTAGCAAAATGCTCACATTCCACTTAACTCCTTATGGAAAAAGCATTCAGAATTTACTATGCAGTTCTACTCACTATGATAGTCTACATCCATCTACAGTAGGGACATCGAACTGAAACACGTAATATTCTGATCTCTCCTTACAGATCTACACATTGAACAGTAACAGACATCAACAGCATTGAGAAAAGTATAAAAAGACCAAAACCCACCTACTGTAGAAAGGGCTTTTTGATGTATAGGAACTGTACAAAGCAGTCTGTGGATGGAAGGGTGGGATACAGGAGGGACTGCCAGAGAAGCCAACAAAGGGGGGAAGCRAAGCTTGAGCGACCTGGTGCTCTGGGTCAGGTGGTGACCTTAGATCYACGTCAGTTGCTGCTCGAGGGAGAAAAGGCTACAAAACTCCTAATATCAAAATATTCCCATGCCAGAAATGTACACTGAGACTAACAGACTAGGCTGGAGAGGCAAAGAGAAGCATTCACTAACAAACAGTGTTGTTTTAAATATAAACTTTACATTTTCAATATAAACTGTAGAATAAATATTAAATAAACACTTCAAATGGTTTAAAATAATAATAGTACAGAATAGCTTAAAAAAAAAGGCAAAGAAAATGAAGAGGATTTTTTGTGTTCACAGCAAAGGTCAGTAATGACCCAAAAAACCCAGCTGTGCTGAAATCTGAACTCAACATTTTGATTTAACTACAGTAGTTAAAAGAAACAGAAAGTAATGCCTAACAGTATCTCATAGTCTGTAACATGAAAAGAAAATGAGATTAAAAATTGGTTTGTGTCTCTAAAAGAATGGGACAACTCTGATTCCATTTGGTTTGTGTCTCTAAAAGAACGGGACAAGTCTGATTCCATTTTTCACAATGAGAAAACGTTTGGAAGGTCAATGACTTGATTCAGATGGGAAGTAAATCCTGCTTTGTAAAAAAAAAAACAAAAGAAAGAGAAAAAGAAAGGAATTGAATCAAGGTGAAAGCAAATGAAATCCTTTACAAAGCATGAAGAATGGAAGGGGCTTGATCTGGAAGAGCACTGGTTCTTGGTAGAATCGCTGGTTTCTTTATCACAATTTCATTAAACAGATTTTCTGCACCCATCTCCCCAAAGTGGCCACACACACATATGCACACAGRTATTTGTGCATAAATACAAATACAGACACACAGAGATATGCAGATGTACACACAGGCTGCAGATCCCCCGCCACTGGAGGATGCCACGGGATCACAAAAGGGCTCTGCTAAAGAGCTCTGCAGGATTTGGGAACTTGCTCTCAAAGCAATGCAGAGCATCAGTGCCCTTTCCAGCACACAGCCTGGCCCTGCTCATGCCAGGCTGGCACCCTGGGACTGGGACCCAGGCTGTTTCACTGGGACCCACCCCATGTTTGAGCTGGCGAGTCTGGGAGACAATAATAGGTTCATAATTAGAAATAAACCCTTCTAGCTCTGATTTGGAAGCATTGCACATGAAAGATCACAGCCAGGAGACCACCAGTGGATGGTGATGCCATGTCTGTGCATGTAAACGGAAAGATGTTCACATTCACTTTTAAAGGCTTTATTTAASAGCTTTAATTTAACCAACTTGCATGTTTACATGTGACACAGCCTGCTGCAGCCTTAGCCCTGGTGCTGCCTGTAAGGGTTTGGATTGACAGGCTTTACCSTGTGGAGGTGCTGGGCAGGAGAAGGGATTTGCTCTGTGACCTTTGATGKAAGGCATAGTCCAGGATAAGCTGCTGTGGAGGGACACAGGACTGCCAAAAACCCCCTCAGCTCTGTGTGGAGAATGAGTCCAGTCAGGAGGAAAAGCATAATCTGCTGATGGTGGAGCTCAGATTTATGTCAGAGTGAAATGGCAGCTCTGTGCCTCAGGCAGGTCCTGCCCAGGACAGMAGAGCCAGACCCAGAGGATGTCTGGGTTAATCAAGAAAATACCAGAGGAAAACTAGACAGGACRTTTKAGAAGRAACCTCCTGATGGTGCTCAATTGCYCCTCACAAAATCATATTTAGGGASACAGAAACGCTGGTTTATCTGCTCCTCYTGCAAGTTGGCAGGATTTCTGTGAAAGGCAAGTAGAAAAAGTGTGTCTGTGTGTGTGTGTCTGWGTGCTGTGCAGCTCATGGACAATTATAATTAAATACATTTTTCTGAAGCTGTGGGAGAGCCAAGGGGATTTACTTGAGGCAGGGCAGATTGCAGGCCTTTTGCAAATGACTGCRATGGCAGATTTTTGGGAGGATGCAGGGGCGTGAAACAACAAATTCCTCATGGTTTTACACATCCTTCTGCATTAATAACGATTATGCAGGCTTGCTCTTTGTTCTCAGGTCATTGATCTGGATAAATAGGAAATGAAAGAGGAGAAAACAACTGAGCCCCTCTAGCACATGGCACCTGAAAGGAATCCCRCTTCTGATCATGTCTGAAAGCAGAGGTCCTACCCAGAGGGCTGCCAGGTGGGCACTGATTTTGGAGAGGGCTGAGAGCCAGCATCCTCAGGCCAATGTACCTAAAACACTGACTTCTGCCAACCTGTGGGGTATTTTCCAGCTTTCAAGTGATTATGTAGTCAACCATATTGTGACTTGATGCAGTCTCCACCTCTGTATCCAGCACTAACTCAGGAAAAAACCCAAACCTCTCTAATTAGTTTTTGGTATAAGAAACACATTTTTCATTCTGCAAAATAACTCACTGGCCAACCACAGGCACTGCTAAAACACTTATACCTGCATCCTAATGCAAGAGTGGGGTTCAGGTTCCTCTTACTGCTTGAGAAAACAGCAAAAATCGTAAAAGGTCACCACAGCACATTACTGCATCCAAGAATTGCCATGGGAAAGGACACTGCAAATAATTTAATGGAAATATGATGTGGTACAAGAGCTTTGAATATATGGGAGGTATYGAGGGAATCACAGATTGGATTTTAATACTATTCTTTTTTAGGAGTGTGTGTTACAAGTGTGCAGCGTGTCACACTGAGCAGTGGGCTAATGGTTTTGAAATATCACCACCTAAAGTTGCTTTTYTAAACAGGCCTCTTTACATTAAAGAAATGACAGTTGCTGTTGAGGGTTTGTGTCTTTGACAGTGTTGTAACTTTGGAAGGAGGGGTTGCTAACTGAGAACAGACAGATCTGCAGAGTGTGAGCTGGAAGCAGAGGCTGCCTGMGTGTTGTTAGTGAACCTCAGTGCAAACGAGCTCAGACAGAAGCTGAGGAGCAGCTCTGGAGGTGGTTCTGATGCTAAAAATTCACAGAATACTCTCCCCTTAAACGCTCTGAAAGGCAGATGGACTCTGTGCCCTGCCTGTAGGGCTTGGTCCATTACAGCTGCAGGTTCTCAGCTTCTCTTCAGATCTTTATCAAATAAAGAGTGTCAGKGAGCTGATCTGTGCCCTGGTGGGAGTTTTGCTTTCAGTGTGAGCTGGACTGAGCCTGTTGGACTCATTCTCAGAGAGTGTAAGGAAGAGAAAGTCCTGCCAGGGGTTTTCCTTCTGGATTAAATCCCTGGCACTGGGCAGCCACTGTCCAAAGAGAATTGCTCTTTTTTGGGACATTATAAATATGGACTAGAAAATGAGGCACCTGCTTTTCCTTCTTCATGAAAGAAAAAAAACTGTTTCTGATATGATCCAGGTAACAATTTATGACACAAATTCTCKAATATGAGAGGGGCTTCTAGGCCTTTGTATTGGTTTGTGGAGCCCCTTCCAGGATTCTTCATTCACAGGATGTATTTCATAAGTGATGAAAGTGAAAATTAAGACACAAAATGCTTTTGAAACAAAACCCATTGCCCCTGTGGATAGGACAAACCCCTCCCCCCACATCAACTGAACAAAAGCTGTATTCCAAACAGTCCTTGCTGGAAAAAAAGTTGCCATCCAAATTAAATCGACTATACAAAATTAAACTCAGTAGAGAGGGAACATTTGTGCCAGGTACTCTCAGATACAACTGCAGAGATATGATGTGAATTGCAATATTGTGCAAAAYGTGAGTCCTCATTATGATGGGCACTACCATATATAACCAATTTCATCATCCTTATCATCATCTTCATCTTCATCATCTTCATTAGCTGCTCTTACGTGAATCTTCAGTTTCCCTTCTTTGTCTCTTCTTGTTCCTTCAGTTTCCTCTTCCAAATCATCCAACAATACAACAGATCCACCACTGCCAAAATCCCCTGAGGTTTCTTGCTCTTCTTCTGAAACAGGTGAGCAGGAGAGGTCATTTCCTCACAGAACACCAAATTTCACATTCATCACTACCCTTGTCATGCAAGCCACTGTCATTTGCAATGTTATTTTTAAAATTTGTTGGTTGAGCTATTCATGACACAAACTTTAAATTTCAATTTTCATTCTGAACTGGGATAAATATAAATCAATTGACTCTGAAAAGTTTACTTGCATAAACCACCCCTCATGCATTGTCTTACTCCTAGACACATGATGGGAGAGTTTCAGATCATGTGCATGCAGACCAGAAAATCATTACTCATTTGTAAATACTTTATTTTCATCATGGCTCTGTAAACCAGGCTAAAAATATTCCAAAAATTGATTTTATTGGAGTGCATAAACCTCACTCTGCAAATGTAGCTATTGAGCCAAAGATCTGTGATGTGATTCTGGGCATCATGGACCTTCTAGGTCTTTGTTCCTTCTCAAAAAAGAAAGCTGCACTCMCAGCCATCACTGAAGCTCTCTGAARGAATGCAGGTGAAATCTTCTTTGTTTGGGCACAACAGCTAATTGGTGATTTCACTTACCTACACAATATTGTCCTGAGAGCAATTTTACTGGGCTTGGTTGATAATGTAAACAATTTTACACATTTAGGCCTTCCCTTGTCTGGAAAGAACTATTCATGAAGTCCCAATAAATGTGCATTCCACAGTACACAGAACAATGTCTTTAATAACTGTGCACAGCAACCCCAGACCCTTCATTTTAATATCACAAACTGCACTTTCCAGGCTGGCAGCAAAAGAATCTTAACAGTGGTTATTGCCTGAAGACTTGTGCTGCACCTCTGCTGTCCAAAGGACCAGTGAGGGCCCCATTTTTTTGTCTGAATAGGAAAAGAGAGGACACTCTGAACTCTGGTACTGGTGTTTCTCTTTTGTTATCAAAGTTGGTACAGCAAAGGCAGGGCTTACAGCAGCTCTTGTCTGAGGAAAGCACATCATTACTCACCACAGCTGACTGTCCCTTGCTTTCTGGAGCCAGCTATCTCATTGCCATACTTATCAACACACCAGCACTGCCCCGTGCTGCCGTGGCACTGAGTGGCTTTGTAATAACCTTCTTCATTGCAGCGGGGGATGAAAGCACCTGGATAAAATAGAAGGWGTGCTCAGTAATGCAATCCTGTGCWGSAGCAAACACACTGAGAGGGAATTATGAACTTAGCACTTAGATACAGGAAGATCTTGACAACGTTGGCAAGGAAATACATGTGATTATCTGTTGCCTGAAAGAGGGAAGAAATTATATCTGGTTAGCTGTTTTCAGACACCCTGGTCACAGTGCATAAATATTTATGCATATCCAGCACATGGAGGAGGGTGTCATCCAGTTCTAGAGAGAGGCTCAGTCTGTCCCTGAATGATTGATATTCCCACAGAGCCTTTTCACATTTAATTCCTGGTTTTAAACTTTTCTTCCCAACTGGATTATTACCCCAACGTCATTAGTTCTGCACTTCCCTTCCATTTGCACTCCTTCAGTGTTTATCATATGAGTCTTTCCACAACACTGTAACTATCCCTGGAAGGTATCTGCCATCTGCTTGCTATTCATACTAATCTCAGGCACATCCCTGGACTTACTGAGAGTTCCTATGTATAAAAGAAGAAATAATGCAGGCTTTACAGAGAGRGACAACAGGATTTGAATCAGTAAGTCTTTGGAATTGAAGCCCAAGATCGGTCTCACAATAAAACCAATATAGCTCAACCTTGTAGAGTGTGGTTCATTCTGGCTTGTGCAGACAGAAAACTCTCAGGAGAAACCTGTGTTATTGTCCYCACCATTTTCAGCTGATACAGCAAAAGTACTTCAATATGAAATGCCCTCTTCTCCTTCGAGATGAGTTAGCTTTATTCCCACTGGAGGTCAGTACATTCATTTTCCCCTTCTTTGTAAATTGCTTCAATTTGAAACATGRCATAAACACATCCTTGCCCCAAAAATTTCTTGTCTCAAATGATTTTTGAGAAAATGTTTTTCTCCTTTGGCAAGGTACCAGTGATTTACTGGTGATTCAGTAAAGTTTTTTAACTAGTTCCATGTGTAGCATCTATTCAGACAGTACATGTGTCACAGGGGCCACTTCCACTACATTTCTCATAGGAAAAAATGAATGAGAAGGTGCCCAAATGTAATGAGATTTCCTGTATTAAAGACATAAAAGTGGAAGTCACTCAGTCTCATGCACACAGAGAGCTACACAAAGAGAATCTGAATAYCCAAACTCATTGCTCTGCAGTTCTTGTCTAATTTTTGAGTGCTGCTCATGCAGATCTGCAAAATGAGAAGAGAAACTTTTGAACATCTGCAGAAATCTTTGTATATCAGATCAGCTTTGAAGACCACATCCGTGAGTGAGAGTATTTTAAATAAAGTCAGAGCATGATCTTACAGCAGGTTTGCTAATTGGCACCATCATTGTGYTCATGTACAAATGGAAGCAATACTAAAGTCTAGCAAAGACTCATTTTCACTATTTATAAGACTATAGTTCTAATAACAAATGTATGTATTGCCTTTGCAGGTTTATGTAAGTTAAAGTTCTTTTCAAACGTTTATTTCAATATTGATTAGGAAAGGGATTTTTTTTCATATTTATGCTCATGTCCTCTCTCTGATAAGCACTCCAGGTGTTCATCAGACTATACACAACCTTGGGGAAAGTGCTCAGGTGCTGACTTTGAGCTGGTGTAAATCAGCATAGCTGTACCCATGTCACCAGAGCCACCCTTTTATATCTGATGAGCTTCTGGCTCCAGGGGAGGATCAAAGGGGTGAGCTCAGGGGCATTATAGGGTGAGCAGACAACAGCTTCTGCATTTTAAACTGTCTCATGCTTTCTCTTTTCCTTGGGCAATGCAACCTTTCCCTTCTTTGAAACAGGCCTTTTTGCATAGTTTCAGTGTTTCTTGTAAGGCATGAAAATGTTCCACACTGCGTATAAAAGCTTTAAAAGATTTAAAAATAAATTATGGCCCAGGCTCTCTGCCAACATAACTGTGTGTGGAATAGATTCACACTTTGGGTCACAGCRAAGAGTGGAAGGTACTTTTCCTTCTGCGTGGGAAATTCGTGCCAATTTGTATGTAACACCGGAGCTTTAAATATTTAGCTGTGCATAGGAATGTCACAGTATTTGCCAACCATCAGAGGGAAGATACAGCATGTCCTCTGCAAAGTGTCAGGTGCAGGTGATAATTTGGAGAGGGTAGAGAGTCGCTGGGAACGAGTGTTGTACAATGTGATGATTCTCCCTGTAAATTGCACACAAATCAGCCTGCCTCCATTAGAAATAATCTGGATAACAAGCTCTGTGTCCTGGAGTATGGCACCCAGACAGCCCATTTTCTGGGTTTGGCATCAGAGAACATCTGGAGCTTTCCTCTCCAGAGGTTCCTGCACAGATTGTGCACCCCCACAAGCCTGGACACCACAAAATGTGAGCCCTCCCCACCAAGCTGCCTCAGTTCACTGAATCCTGCCTCCCCACCTCTCCTCGTCCTGTGAAGGATTTAATTATTCCACACAAACTTGAACAGTGCTGTTGCATCTGTATCCTCTTTATGGACCCAGACCTACACCTCCTTTTTCTGGCATAATTCCCTTATCTGCATAATACTCCTCTTCCTTAGAGAACATGAGGAGAATAATTATATACTAGAAACAGTGAAGCACACAGGTAAAAGCCTGACAGAATTAAGTGCTAGCCAGCACACAGCTCCTGGTATTAGCTATTATATTAGCTGAACCCACAGGGTTGATACAGGAGGAAACAGTGACGGGAGCAGAAATTTATTACTTTAGTGATGTGGGAGAAGCATTATCAGGCTGCACAGTTGTGTGCTCTAAAAGTACAGTTTCTGCAGTTAATTGTACTCTAGATAAATCTGGTAGGAAAAGATGAATAGTGCTGTTTACTTTTTAATTCAGTCTCCTGGGATGCTAGACTTCATTTGAAAGCCTCCAAATTCAACATGTCTAATGGCAATGGCTTTGAAGTACTTTGTTGCAACTGGCATGTGTTTTCAAAAATATATAAAGAAGAAAAYATCAAAAGTCATCATTTTTATCAGTGGATACAAGTTAACAAAAACATTCTTCATGCCACTGCCTGGACTGTAAGTGCTGTGCTCTCTATGTCAGGGTCAGAGGAGGAAAGAGAATAATTAAAGATTAGTTTCTCTGAAAATATTCATCTCTCCTTTCCATCTTTACCATTGCTACAAGTCACGTGTATGTTTGAGCTTCCRTTTGAATGATTTTTCAGTCAGTGAAGAGAAAAGACAATGTTTCCTGCYGTATAAATAGCTCTGATATCAAATTAAAATCTCCCAGACAGGTGTCATTATGCAGATAGGCTTTCAGGGTAGGTGAAGCAAAGAGTTCCTCTTTATATTGTAATTTTCTAGCTTGTGGAACAACCTGTGCCTGACACCTTGATTTGTTGAGCTTCACCACTTTCATTTTTTTTTTTTTAATACAGTTGACTAGAAATTATTTGTGCTGTGGGACCATTCTTACWGCTTTTACTTTGTCATTTTACCCCTGCTATTGTCATCAGATCCCARTGACAAGTGCTACAACCACCTGCATGTTGAACTACCTGCAACCCAGGCATCATTCTTCCCACACACCAGAATAAACTACTTATGTTTCAACCTAGATRACATTTATTGCACATAGAAAATAACAGCAAAGCATAAAATAAATATGGGATAGTCAAAGCTATCTATTAAGAACTGGGCTTCYTATTCTTTTAGGTGGCTTTGAAATCACGATGCCCATGAGACAGAGAACAGCCTGACTGCCTCTGCCACAACATTCCCTTGGACACAAATGCAGAATATTTACTGAAGTAATTGTCATTTTACCCCTGCTATTGTCATCAGATCCCAGTGACAAGTGCTACAACCACCTGCATGTTGATCTACCTGCAACCATTCAGTGGTTTGGCTCTGTGTGCTCAAACGTGCTGGGACACGAGTTTTGATGAGACACAGGGACAGAAATGCCAGGCTACACATCACTGGGTGATTTTAGGGTAGGGAATTGGTCAACGGAAATGTTTTCAGTTCAACWACTTGATTTCTTAGCAATTAATTGGGAAAATGTCAGATGGGGATTTATTTAACCTAATTTAAGATATCCATCAGAGCAATCTAAGTCATGAATCAATTCAGGCTCCCAAYAGGCATGAAAGAGAAGGACAGGCATGACCACATCCTACAGCACGAAGCATTCTGCAGGCTGCCTAAAATGAGATGTATTCCTGTTTTCATAAACACAGAATATACTGAAATATTTTAAACAGTGATCAGGCAAAACTGAACYCCAAGGAAAACCTTCATTGCATCATAACTGGAATTGGACATGAACATATTTGCTATGTGCCTTCAGTCACYCTTCAAAAATGGGAGCCTTGAGTATCAAGCAGCCTCCCAGTACTTTGACCTGAGAGGTGAGGAAGGCAGTATTAAGCTCTGTGCAGACAATGCTTTGCATTTCTGGAGAGCTGTAAATTAGTTCTGAACTCGTTGCCATGCTGACACCTGTTCTGTGTGTTGCTATCTCATTATTTGTTTAATTTCATACTGTCAGGCCTACGCTCAGTGCTGCATATTCCCGACTCAAAACATTAGTCTCTAATTGAAAAACCATTACTGCATATAAAGTTACAATAATCACAGAAGCTTTAATTAGTTGAGTAAATGAATAGCAAGTAATCGAACTTACCCAACAGACTCTTCCCTCTACTTAGCTTTTGAATTCTATTCATTTCGTTCTGGCAAGGAAGACCTAAAATATAATGTATAAGAATCAGTTTCCAGATGGTCCGGGACAGGCTCTGTAATGACTGGCTTCACTGCTGACATGAAATGGAGACTGCTGTACACCTGGGACTCAGAGAAGCCCATATGCTGGTACTGTACCGCAAAACAAATTTATGTCATTAGCTCCACTAATTAAAAGAAAAAAAAAAAAAGAAACACATTGTAGTTGAGAGTAGTGTTTGGGGGCTGTTTTAATTGTTAAACCATTYTACCTCTCCTTTCACCAAGATGACATCATGCCAGCTCTCTGATTTATGACTTGCTAATTGGCTAATTTCTGCATTAATAAAAGAGTAAATTCTTGAGCTTTCTATCGKCAACAGAGCTTCTTTCTTGACTCTGTGCAATGACACTTAACTACTTTGTTTGTTTTAATGATCAAGGCATATTAACAGAGTTCATCTGTGACATTAAACACGGTTCCACAATGCCCTTCACACCGGGGCTGGGGAAAAGAGCTTTTCACCACACCTGCCTGCCAAAGAGCAATCTCTACAGGCGAGCCCTGAAACACAGGGAGAGCCAAACAGCTCCTGTTTGTATTGCAAATCACTCAACTCACCGCCCGGCTTCTGGAAGCAGTAGCACCACTCGTTGTTGGAAAGCTTCCCGTCCTTGAAGGAGTCGCACGAGTTGAAGAGTGGCTTGACACACGGCTCGTACTTATCCAGATAAATGGCACTGATCTCCGAGGGGTCCAGCAGCAGGTCATAGTTCATGTCAAGTTTGTTGAACATCCAGCCTAAGGAATCCTTACAGATTGGTAGGATGCTGGTGTCAAATCCTGTAAGAAGACAGACAAATATTCCCCAGCTGAACCCCAGAGTGCCCCTGGCACAAGAACCACTGCTAAAGTGAAGCCTTGTTAACTTTTCTTTTTCTGGCTGCACTCTGAACGTTGAGCTGACTTGCCCAAAGAAGAACAAAATCCTAAGAYTGAACTGATTGTGCAAAGCTTAAAACCCAAGCACAGCTACAAACTAGAGCGCTACTCACACTCTGTGGAAGCTGCGGGGTGGAGAGGGCTAAGATTCAGAGCTGGTTTCTGTAATTCAAAGTTATTTCTACTCACAAAATTCTTGGGTTTTTTTTCAGTCCTCAGTCCAAGTGGGTTGGCCTGGATCCAGAAAACTGAAATGTTATGAGAAAAGGCTGCGTCCACCGTATTTTCAAACTACACTGAATCYGAATGCAATTTAAATCCTGTTTCCCAGACTTGTTTCTAGTTCCTGATCAAATTCTTTCCTGCTGTGCTCTCACCTTCTACCTCTTACCCTTGTTTTTCACTCTTYGAAGCCCTGTCTGTGTGGTTTGTGACAACAAACTGCTTTGATGTGGACAGTGAGCTGGGGRAGGCAGGGGGAGGGAAGAGGTGAGATGTCTCTGTTCCTTACACCCCTCTGAGGGTTACACTGCCCCATGCTCTTGAATTCTGTACCAGCAGCTCTCCTTCCTGCAGCCTCCAGGATTCTGCAGCAGTGCAAGATTCTGCTTTCCCAGTGCTTTGGAAACCATCACCATCATTCATTTTAATAGCTCAGATTCTTCAAAGGCTGCTGCAGCAGCTCTGGTTATCACAGAAAGCCCAAGTCATGCATATAGATACCACTGTCTATATGAGATACATGTTACAGTGTTCTGCAGTCTCCAGAAAAACTGGTGTGGGGCATTATAAATCCCCACTGCCATGGTATTTTTTCAATGCTTAGACTAAATTCCAGGTTATCTGCAATGTAAGAAAGTATATTTATAATACAGAGATAATAAATCTGCTAACAAGGGTACTGGTTTCAAGGATCCAGAAACATGAAGCCATTGGGTGGGGATTTGGAGGGACAGAGGGTTCCTGGCACCCCCAGCCTCTCCTGCTCACTCTGCTTTGGGCCAWGTGGAGAAGCCTGATGAGCTTTTTCCTTCTGCTGCATCTTTCACTGAAAGAGGTCAAGCTTAGCTCCATTTGCTGTGCGTGTCCCTTCAGGAGGCTGCTTTGTTAAAATGAAGCCGAAGATGTTGCTGGAATCACGCTGACAGTTTGCCCAAGCTCTGCAGCATACCTGCTATTTTAGGCATTAATCCAAAGGAGAGCAGGGCTTTCTGCTGGAAGCTCTGCTTTTTGTATGCAGCTGTGGCTAAAGGCTRCCAGTGACACACAGGGACAATCAGAAGGGTTAACTAATGGGAAGGTTTGTGTCATTCATAATASATGTTTCTCTAAGGAAGGGAGAAGGTAACGCCATTTCCTCAGGGCTAGAGGCAGCTCAGGCAGGGAAGAGAGAAATCATGCTGAACATTTCATCACATTTTTATGCTGTTATCTCCCATAACATTATCTAATCATGTTTGAGTACAGTGAAAAAGAACAAGGCTGTGTGAATAGATGTAGGGGGTGGCTGCTTGCCTTGCTGAAGCAATTAGAAATATTGACTTCAATTACTTTAGTCATCTGAAGAAGGCAAGCGGGATTTGGTCACTGGGCAATCTCTTGTCRAGTAAAAGGATTTAAGATTTCTCACCTTTGCCTTTGCAGAGCAACAGGAGCAGGGCACACAGTCCTGCCCTGTGCAGGTGTATGGTGCTGGATTCCCCACCCCAGGGCAGGTTAAAATTAGTCAAACAGGCAGGGGTGGATCATTCAACTGCATGGTACAGCTGGGATCAGCTGAGGCTATCCCAGTTTAACAGTTTTCAGGAAAAAAAGAGCTGGTTTTCAATGCCTGCTCTTTTTCTGCACAGATGCCCTCTCTGGTAATGGACTTTACACCCTGTGGTGGCACTTACTGCTGGCAAAGATGAGTAACTACAAGGTCTGTTGTATAATCAGGTGAGTTTGGTATGAGTTGCTCAGCCCTGATGGGTCTCTAAAGGTCATCACTTAACTGGCAAGGATCARCACAGGGAGGAGGAGATCCTGGAATGAACTTGCCCCTGACAGTGCCTGKAGATTATTTCTCAGTCTTGTTTTCCTCCCTGCTGGGAAGTCTCTACCTGTGTGTGCAATGGGGATACAACACCAGCCCGCCCTCAGCACAYAGCATATCACAATAGGGTACAGAGCTGCTCTGTGCAGGCCTTGGATGGGAGAGAAATTGTGAAAGKGCACTAGAGAAGACAGTTAATTACATTAGCTGAAGAGGTTTTGATTATAATTTCTTATAAACAAGGGAGCTTTCACTGTTGTGACCAGAGCATCAGATTAGRTTTATTAAGAGGCTGGTTTACTAAAGAGTGCTAGATCATCAGACAGTGTGGTCTGAAGTCCTGAAATACTGAAGTGGCASGTGTGACAGAAAGCCCTTAGCTAGATGGTTATTASCAGTGGAAAGTTAATTCTTTAACTATCCTTCAATATGTAATTGAAGGAAAATAATAGCTCCACTCCATACTGTCTCCTGGTAAAAAATACTGCCTGCAAATCACCTTTTGCAACATCGCATGTGCAGCCCAAATCCAACAATCCTGGATGGTTTCAGCACCCAACAACAGCAGTGAAAGCCAAATGTACCCTGAGTGTTGAGCACAGGCTCTGACTCATGGCACAGCCAGGGCAGCTGATGGAAAAGGGATTTTRGGGCTCACTTACCTTCACTGTGCTCCCACCAGCCTGCTGAGGACAAGTGCTGCTGAATGAATTAACTCCTTTGTAGAGTCTTTTGATTTACTTATCTATAAATACGACACATTTTTCTGGATTAAATAAACCATACACTGAAATTTTGTAAAGCATTCAGTGCTTGGTTAACARGCTGGATTTCCTGCACAACAGACCCAGAGTAAGTAACCTCAGTGAGARTTTTCCTGCATCTTTCTGTTCACCAGCCTAGTGCTGTAGTGCTTTTGAAGCAGGAGAACTGTGCAGGTTCCACATCCTGCTTGCTCTTTGCTCCTTGGCAGAGGCTGCCAACACAGATGCCAATTAATGTCATTTGGGGTGGTGGCTGCTCTCATTTGGGCACCTGCTCACAAGGACCTGGACTGAGACCATCGTGTTCCTCTTTCCAACTGACAGCTGTTCAGCATCCTAACAACTTTCATTCACTACAGAGCTGGAAGGAAATCAAGCTGGTGACCTACATGTAAAAGTCTCTCATCCCATTAATACATGAAATGCTCCACCTCCTCTGAATTAAAAAGGAATTAAATATAAAAAAGTCTTAGGTGAAAATCCTAATTAAAAATAAACACACCTTCTGGCATGGAAAAATTATTTTCCCCCTTCAAGAGTTGACTTACATGAGCCATTTTTATTTTATTAAAGTATACTACAATTAAATTAACAGGGGTATAATTAACCTAATTTCCCCCATCGCTTAAAATAAAAGGAGGAGGAGAAGAAATGTTCCCCAGAAAAAATCCTTTATATTGCATAGATCTCTCATAAAAGGAAAACAACACCCACTCCAACCAAGGGGACTCTCTAGATACAGTATGGGGATGTTATGAATTATCAACAGGCTCAGGAGCAATTTGAATCTGATCTTGCTACCTAATTAGTTTTATTATTTCTCTATGTCAAAGCATGTCCCTGAGTTTCTTATATCATTTAKTGAGGAGATTTTAATTGCACAAAGCCTTCAGAAGACAAAGTACCTGGCCCGTGGTGCTTTGCTGGGATCAGAGAGCTCAGGGAATGAAAGGTTTGAAATCTAAACACAATGATCTCCCTCATCCTTTTCCTTTGAAGAGAGTTACAAAGAAAACAAAAAGGAGYGTACTTTTTTTCTTCACCTGGGGGTGAACATAATACACTCAAAATGCTTATTTACACTCACACTAACATCTTGAAAAATTAATGTAGCATAGAGAGATCTCTGCTGGAAGACCTTTTCCAGACAGCCGATGTGTCCGAGGCATCGTAGGCATTGCATCCCACCATCTGTTCCTTTTCCTGCCACGGGGGCACATCCAAAATGGATTGATTTGAGGGTGCTCATGCCTTTGCAAACTCGGCAGGCACAACCAAACTAGCCCAGTTTAATGAAGTGATGTGTGTGGTGAGGAGGGCACACACACAGAGCCATAAGAAAAGGACACTGCGTACATCAGAGCGTATTTCCAGAGCCGTGCGTGTCCTGTTTGCCAGGACTCACACACATTCTTTTCTACAGCTTGGGAATGTGAACTTTGCTTTGAATTCTGAGCCCTGTTTAAGGTGTCTTTCATTTTTACAAATGTTTGAAGTTGGAGAGCCACATACTGCTGTCCTCACTCCGTGAGTATTTTCAGTGCCACCAGAGAGAATGTGAGCTGCAGAATTTGGCRTGTGCAGATTAATTCATGAATATTGTTGCAAAGCCTCAAAAAGAAAAACAAGCCCAAGTTTTGTGGCATTCAAAAATGGCTTAGGCATCCAAACTCATAAAGTTTCTTTTTTTTCTAAAACTCATATAGAAGGAAATAAGAAAATGTGCCAAACTAAGTCAACAGTCTAAAAATGAACATTGTTGAGATCAAGTGTTTAAGATCATCAGGCAGCCTTTCAAATAAAAGCTGCCAGGAATCAAACTAAACTAAAAAGAGATAACAGCTCCTCTGTGAATCAGAGCAAACACTGCAGAATTGCCAGGAATGTTTTTCTCACTGAAATTGCTTAAGCAAAAAAAAAAAAAAAAAAAGAGACTCAACACCTTTAGGATTGTATTTGGTCTTTGGCCTCTGGCAAGGTCATCATGAGGATCTCATRAGTTATCTGCATGAAAAACATCCTTTTGACAATCTGATAAAATGAGATTTCCTGTGATTCTGGGTCTAAAGGACTTCAAACAAAGTTTAAAGCCTCTCAGACTTTCTGTCATGGGGTCTGAAATGAATTCACATCTGGAAGCCATGATTAGCTGTGCCTCCAGTTGCTTTTTGCACAAGGGTTTGGATCCTCTGCATGAGAATATCTCTTTTTGGAGCACCATTTCAGAAATAAGTAGGACATATGGTTTTAAAGATACTGACTTTGTTGTAAATAGCATGCAAAATAAAGAAAACGTGAAAAAAAGATCCTTTACACAGAACATGGCTTGTTTCTCCACAGTTTTAATGTATGTGGTGAAATTTATGGGTTYGACTGTAGTTCTGAGCATTACAGCCTGTGGTACAAAGTCTCTTCAGGAAAAGGCAATCTACAGCCACCCCAGCTCAGATACAGCACAAAGAAGAGGGGCTGTGGAGACCTCAACCAACAGTGAATGCCCACCCTGATGTGCTGAGTGTGCCCTTGGAGCCTCTGTGGTGTGAAAAGAGCCACAAAAGCAGCAGCTGACCCTTCAAATCCTGAGTTTGGACCCAGCTTCACACAGCTCCTTCCAGAGAATCAGCAAAATGACAGCGAGGCACACTCCCAGATAAAACTTGTGCATCCTGCTCTGCAGCCCAAGGGCCCACGTGTTTTGGGACATACTGTTTAAAAGAATTAATGAGCCCTTCCACAAAGTGTATCYGCATCTGCTCTCTGATGAGCATGACCTCTTTTGACGCTGTTATCTGAATTGTTCCCCTCCCTGGTGGCTAAATGACATCAAAATCAGTCATGTTGGCTTAACCCACAGAGAGTAAATGTCCTCTAGACTGTTCATTTTCTTCCTTTCTTTTTTTTTTTTTTTTTTTAAAAAAAAAGCTTCAAAGGATGCAAGATGGTGTTATTAAATACCTAGGACACAATGGATTCCAGCTTTCTCAACCCTTTCACTTTTCTCGCTCCATGGCTCAGATGTGGATGCTTTAATTATTCTTTCTCTTACATAAACTGTTAGCAGGAAATTTCAAAGTAAAATCTGAGTGATTTTTTTCCAACATTGGCATAATTTTCCCTATGCTTGTACGCCATATTTTTATCTTACGCCACTGATTTGTGTCAGGAAATGCTTGGCCATAAAATTGCTGGTTSAGCAGAGACCGGAGGCCAACCCTAAGAAATTATTTGGATGCATCCACGTTGAATTGGAAGGTGATGGAATTGAACTGTACAGACACAAACTGCATCATATTAGTCAACCCCAGGGCTTGAGAAAGTCCCTGAGCAGTTTCAGTTGCTCATATAGAGGTGATCTCCATGGCCCTCACACACAGCTTTTTGCCTGATTAACTTGTGAAGGTCTCTCTGTCTCTGACTGTAGTTTTTAGAGCAGTTTGGGCCAGAGAGAGGACAGAAGRACTGCAGCTCCTTTAGAAAACAGCATTTATTTGCCAGATCAGCTCTCAGGTACCTGTTTATTCACTGACACCTGCCTGACCGAACATTGCAGCACCACCAGCTGTGCTCAGCTGATTCTCTCACCTTGCAAAGCTCCCACAACACCCAATGTTCAACAAGAAAGAGTTTTTCTTACTGCCTTGTGCTGTCTCYGAGCTCGTGGGTTTGATGACACGATTGGCATCCTCGTGAAGGGCACCGAACCARTCTTTTAGCCTCGAAGCCAGATTCCTCAGCTCTTTGTCTGTGCAAGCTAGGAGAGAACAAAGCACCAGACTGAGTCAGGAACACCAGGGGAAAAAAATCCCTCCCCAGAGAGTCCATTAGAAAAATAGTGTTTATGGTTGTAAAGTTCTCCTCATTAAGAGCTCTGAAGGAAAAAGAGAAGGTCAGGGAAAAGGATGCAAGCTAAAAAAGAAAACGTAAGTCATTATGAATGATAAGTWGTACTCAAGTACTTCCTTGGAAGCTGACATGATTGGTGATGGGAGCAGGGCCATGCAGAGCTCCCCACCGTGGGCAATTAGAGCTATGTGGCTATTTAACTTAAATGTTTTCACCTTCTAGGATTGCAGAGAAAAATATCAGTCAAACAGATGGGGAGGAGGGACATACTCGCCTAGACATGCTACTCGAAAAAGATGCTAGGGATAATTTATAACCACATTTGGCTTAGTATAAGGCTATTATCACAGTAATAGAAAATATATATACTTATTTATATACAGAAAAAATTGTTATGTTGCTCTAGTTCTACTGCAAGTGAGACTGCCAGCTCTGAAGGTTGTCAATTCCATTTTGTTACCAAGGTAAAACATTTATTTTCTTATAAATTTTACTGAGAAGTATCTAATTTTCCCAGAAATTTCTGCCAAGAGATTAATGTCCAGCTGGAGCAAATATTTTTAAGGAAGAAAGCTGCATCAGCCATGAGTTTCTGTCAGAAAAAATATTCTTGTTTCTGTATCATGTTTAGTGCTTAAAATTCACATGCTCAGGCAATTTTATTATTCCTGCTGAGCACTCATTCTACATTTTAAATGACATTTCTTAGAATACAGAGCAAGATTTTATGCCATAGAGGCAGACATCCTTCACAGTCACARTAAGTCTTCTCCATCTCACTGCACATTATAATATTCCTCCTTCCACCTTATTGAAGAACAATCGAGTCCCACAGCTCTGCCAAGTTAAACTCACTGCACCARTGACTGCAAGAAACTTGCTGATGTGTCATGGCTGTGCTGAGTRTTTGTTTGTCCTCACACTTTATTTTGGGACAGGGATAACTTTGAAGTTAGAAATAGAAATGATAGCCTTTTCTAAATTTGAGGGGGGAGAAAAAGAAAGATTTTCCCATTTTTTTCCTGTAGCGCTGAAAGAATTTGATATATTTTCCTATGAAAGATAAAAATATCACTATCCTACTAAGGCTGAGCCCAGGTAAGGAAAAATCAGGTCCTAAACAAAATATCACAGCAATGAATGTAAAATAAATGGAAGAAAATGCAATACTAATTGTAAAGTGGCCTACCTTGCTGAAAAAGCTTACCACTTCATTTTCTCACTAGAATTAATATTACATTTTATTCATTGTAAACTATTTTATCTTTCTAAGTTGGGTGAAAAAAAAASAGAACTCATTCATCCAAGAAATGAGTAATATAATTTTATTGTGCAAACCTGATACTTACTAAATAACTATTGTGGCACATGTGACCTTTAGGAGGCCAATGCTGGACTACAAAACCCATTCCTGTGCCTTCCTAACCCCTCATCGTGCCTTCTTCAGGTAYATTGAGCTTCACAGACAGCCAAGGCCCAGGAAAAAGAAATAATAATAAAGAAAATACTGCCTAGAGCCATTTTCCTGATTCACATTTGTACTTCCAAACACAAAACCAACCCCAGACACCGCAGGAACTCAAGGTAAGGCAAACCTCCCAAACTCACCTTGTGTGCAGGGCAGGACAAGGAACACACTCACCTCCTGTCCCTGCCTCAGAACCCTGCAGGGAGCAYTCCCAGGGCCAAAATAAAACTTCTAAAATAAATAATAATCTCACCAAGTGGTCACTGGGTGTGAGCTGCAGTGACTGGGGAAATTGGAATCCAGGCTTTTCAACTGCAGTGCAAACCAGGACTGAACGCACAGTGTAGGTGGGACAGAAGCAATTAATTAATGGCAAACAGAAGCAATTAATGGTAAATCAGACTTGAAACAACTCTTCTCTCTAGCTGAGCCAATCCAACATGTCAGGGTCTGTAAAATGCCATTTGGAATGATGTGGTTACAGTTTTTCTGTGTCTGTAACCTCAACCATGTTGCAAACTATCTTTTTTTGAAGGCACTCTTTGAGAGTGGACTATGGGTGATTTATTGCTCTTGTTTTTGCTGACCACAAACCCTGCAGATTTCCTTTGGAATCTTATCTGAGGCATGATTGACAGTAAGCCCAGAAGTGGAGTTTTCTGCATTCTGGGTAGTTTTTCTGTGAATAACTGAGATATTCCTTAAGTATGCTGCTTAAGGATGATTCCACAGTGGATATGATGTTGAGGTTCTCTCTTAGGATTGCAGTCTTTCTTCACTAAAATAAATGCTGTTTCATGAGTCAAGGAGCCAAGTTCGCTGTTAATATGGAGTGAATAATAAATTTCTGGACAAGACGTCAAAAATTTAATGGAAAGTTCAGTTAAATTTCTATTCAAGTATTTAAWGCCCTCAATTTTACTTTCTCCTGCACATTAAAATAGAGGAAGTATCCGTTTTTTTTACATTTCTTGTATTAAATTTTATTTTAATGCTACCATGCCTAGTTAAAAATATCCTGCCTTTCTACCTAATGGAASTGCATGCCATTTTTATTTATTTGATTTGAACATTATCAGAAGCATATAAACATTGTGAATTTGTTTGGTTTGGGGCACATTTGGGACACTTCAAAGTGAATTGACATTTAGAGGGCAGGAGTTTCATAAAAAGAAAGTTAGGGCATCCAGGAACCAGAGCACTCAATGTTTTATTTCTGGTGGTTGGGGCCCATTAGTTATATATCAAACAATTAGAAAGCACAGGTCTGAGGAGCCCCTGATCTGAGGTCCTTATATATAAATTTACATTAGTAGAAGTTATAAAACATTTTTAAGAACCCTTTTCATGAAAAATGCAGTGCAAATGTACCTCTTCACTATTAATAGAAGTTTCAAGTCACATTCCTCAGATGAGAAGAACAGGGCTGTAGGAGGAATGGATGTGATAATGGGTCTCTTGCTATTTGAAGATTTATAAGGAGAGAACGCCRGGGCTGCAAACAATATGGAYATTGACATGACTTGAAGCACTGATYAAAAAATCCAGGCTGAAGAGAATCACCAAGGGAGGCACCTCTCCATAGCCCCTCTCTCACAACTGAAATGTGTCCAGTCAACTGTCAACAACCATTTAAAGCTGTGGTGCTGTRAAAGACTCGAGCGTGAACATATGGAAATGGGCATTTCACTGGTGTGTACCTTCTCCAAGATAAGGGACTCTGGCTTCAGTTCATTTCCTACACCTTTTAAAAAGAGAAYGACCCACAATTCTTTATCTTTGCTATTTTATTGATGTCAACAAAGGTTTTGCTTTAGCAGCCACCTGATGGCAGATGCTCCTGTAACATTAATTTCTGGATCCCTCCAACCTGAGGATGGCTTTGATGACACACACTCACAGCCCACGGCTTCCYCACCATCCCTGCTCCATCCAGGGATGGACAGGCAGGGTGGGTGACACCCAGATCACCAGCCTGACCCAGAGCACAGTCCCTGCACCTCAGGTGGCAGTGGGACCTCGAGCAGTGATAAAATCTGTCACTTCCCAGAGCCTCAGCAATGCAAACGCAGGAGGATGTGAGAGCTGCTGGACCCAACAACATCCTCAGATCTGCATCTGGTGATGTGACAAATTATCCTGCAGGAATGRTTTATTAACAAGCACCTAAAGTGCAGATTTATTCCCAAGGGTGAAGCACTTGGTCCAGCAGTTATTTATTCCTCACAAACTGAAAGCACTGTTGCTAAATACCTATTTTCACMAAGCAGAAAGCATTTATCTGACCTAATGGAAAGCCATTAGCATGCTGTAAAGGCTCAGGCTTTTATGGGCCTGCTTTTGTTATGAACTTTTTCAGCTCTATAGATACTAATCTATATACATTGGTGGTGAAAATTAGCAGTATAATATTTAATTTCACTCTTTCAGATAGGGACTTTCAATAGTACTTGGTGATAGTAATCAACATTAAAACTGAACTTACCTGTAGATGTATAAGATTAAATCAATACTGAGTCATATTCCATTTTTACTCCAGCCCAGCAAAGCAATATTGTAAAATYATCATCTACTAACAAAAGAAAAAACCCCAATCCTCACAACTCCTACTGCAGCGAATGATAAACAAAACTTAATACTTCCTGCAGTACTGTATTRGTGTCTCACTTGCTGCTGGAATATTCTGGCACTGTGCAGCAAACAAGAAATCCATTTTGTCCAGGAACAAGTTACAGTGATCTATTTATTACACTATTTCCCAGTAAGCAAAGTATGCAACCAGATTCACAGAATGTGCACAAAAGGTTTCATGTCATTTGATTTCCCTGTCTTCTCTCTGGCATCTGTYTGTTGCCTTCTCATTCCACTGTTCTTATTCCAATAATTCTTACCAATAGTACTGCATTCCTGCTAATTACATGTGATGAGACTGGTTCTTTGGGTTCATAATGTTGTTATTTAATACAAAATAGTCTCTTAAGGAGAGATTTAGGAGCAAAGGGTAGCACCCCTGAGAGGTAGGAGAGTGTCAACTGTTTCTCCACCGCGGAAGAAAAGAAATTGCAAAAGCGGAGAAATAAAAAAAAAACAAAAAGAAAGTTGGAGTTTTAAAAAATGCATATTTAGTTACAGAGGTTAGTGTTCTTCTAACATTTCTTCTAACTATTTGCATGTAATTCATGCAAATTAAATCTTCAGCTTAGGGACATGCCACTACTTTTTAATAACCTGCTTAAAGATGCAAATGTGCTGCCATGGAGCAGAATCAATGGGTTGTGGTCGAGGTGACCAGCCACAAAATGCAAATAAGAAACAGGAAGCTTTGCAAGAGAGCCCATGGAYTGAAATACTTTGTACTCCCTGAGCAACAAGAGGCAGTGGATGTGTCCCTGGAATCCAGGCCTGCCTATTGCCTGGCTCAAAAGCAAAACCAGCTCTGC